AAGCTAGTTTGACCAAGTCTAAAGGTGTTGACTTGGTCAAAATGATCATGGATTTACTCATGTCATACCAAGGGATATTTAAGATGTTAAATGATGTGAAATCAAAGGTTCTTAAATCATCGAGTGAATATGAGTGAAGTGGATTCAATCTTGAGTCAAATATTAGACCTTATATGAGGCTTATCAATTGAGTGGAAATGTGTATTCAATACATGGCTTTGACCATAGGTTTGATCATGTAAAATCAAGGCGACTTGGCTTCAAATAAGTTTGAATGGATTTGACTCAAGTTTTGAGATGGGTTTGAAAGCTTTAAGGGGTACTTTTGTCGACATAGGTTGACTTGGTCAACAAAGTTGACCCAAGATTTGGAATTGGGTCCAATAAGTCCTAAAAATTATTTGAAAACATTTAGAAAAGGTTTCAAAGATTGATAATCAAATCAAGTCAAGTCTAGGTCAAAAGTCCAAAAATTCCCTTAAAGGGCATTTTGGTCATTTTGGCCTTGAGTCAATTCTGGGTCAAATTGATTCTAGAAAGATGTGGATTATTTCTTAAAAAGTTAATACCAAGGTCCTGGGAATGATCAAAAGAGTTGGAGGGGGTCTAAGGTCAAATTCCACTGGGTGAAAGGTCCAGTGGCATGGATTGTAAATATTTAAAGGTTTTGTAATCATTGAAATTGGATTTAGTTTATGGTGTTAAAGTCCTCCAAATGAGTTCAAATTTGGAGGGTTGGCCTTATAGGTATGTCGCATCAATATAGAATTGACAGACTTTGAATTAAATGCCAATTGACAGGATTTCAAAGTGATGGAAAAATCACCTAAAAGGGGCTTTAGGACCTAAGTCTTTAGCCTAAGGATTCTGGGTTTGGATTGAATTTAAGATCTGGACTAGGCTTAAGGGCTAGGAGCTAGGAAGATCCTAGGATCTAGGACTCAGGAAGGAATCAAGAGTGACCTCATACAAAAATGAGGTCAACAGATAGCGGCTAAACATAGGTGCTATGATGATGACTGGGTGGAGGTTCGACAAAAACACCTTGGCTGAGGTCTGATGATGGTGACCGGGTGAATGTCTAGTAACATTCAGTTGGTGAAAGTCTGATGGCGCATCCAAGAGGCAAGGGTTTGCTGGTGGTTGTGTTCCTTGAATCTCTAGCCCAAGGTTCAAGCCGTCATAGTCCTCTCAAAAGTACCCCTCAAAGAGTGAGGGTCTATTTATAGATTTTGAGAGTGACATGCGAAGAAAATATGGAGATATCTGAAGCAAATTTGAAGTGCTCCATCAAATGACCAATATTAGTCCTCGATCATTAAACATTTGTTCAACTTTTATCTACCAAAATGATGTCAGAATATAGCGATCTTGGGCTCATTTGATTTCTCTTGTCCAGCTGCTTGTTTCAGCTATAAAGATCATTCGATCATCCAATTAATGCTTTGAAGCTTCTAAATATGCTTCAGACCCTTGATTTGGGCCCATTTGGGCTCGAATTGGACCGATTTTGGTGTCGTTGGTTTCATCTCATTGGCATTCAATTTGACTATAAGTTTGCTAAACTAAAAATTCGATTGGCCACAAATTTAATTTTGAAAGTTTCAATTTTGATAATGCCTTGAGATTCGTGTTCGATCGATACAATTTTTGGTGACGTTTCAAGAATCTATTTCTTTACTCTGGTAATCACATGCAATAAATACATTCTTTATGGAATCACCTTAATAAAACTTTATTAATTTGAAAAAAAAAAAACTTAGTAAGGAAAAAAACAACTGAGTGAGAAGTTTCCTATCAAACATTAGTTAAAATGTAGTTTGAAATCCTTGAAATTACTTTGATATCAGTTTTAAGTAATTAATTTATTATTCATACATTATAATGATCTAAAATGAAATTTAAGAAAATTAAAATATATTTAAAAATGTTAATTAGAATATTTGACCTAGGTTTTCTTTTATGTTAAATTTTTTTTCTTAAAAAGAAAAAAAGACGGGTCATCCTTGCCATCTATTTAGGGGCTATTTGGTTTGAATGTTTGATGAAAAATGAGTATAATTTTTTTTTAAATGTAGGGGTTTTAGAAATTTTGGTATTTGGTTTAATAAAAAGTGAAGGCAAAGTAAGTTTTTGATGAATTTCAAATTTAATATGTAGTTCATTTTTATGTACTTGCTCATTTTTGATCGAATTTCAAATACATCATAAGCTAAGTTTTTTATTATTGCCGACAACCTCCACTATTCACTGTCATCTGCTAGTGTAGCTAGCCACCACTGCTCCCAAATGCACACTAGCTATTGATAGCTCTAGTCACCGCCTGCTCACCACCACCACCTTTAGCCTTTATTAAAGCCATTTTACTTCAAACCAACATAAAATATTACTTTCATTTGTTTTATACTTATGAAAATAATTTCAAATATTCTAAATATATTACATACATATATGTTTTTTCTATTTTAGGAATTGCTCTTTGTGGAAGCCTTTTTCTACTTAAGCTTCTTTATTTTGGAAGAATCTTTGTAAATTTGCTGAAGGATAAAATTAAGTTTATTATTTATGCTGATAGTTGGCTTTCTTCTTATTGGGATTCCTGGATTAATGATAGATCTCTTTATGAGATTATTCCTAATATTAACTCTTACTGGCATAATGTCTTGATTAAAGATGTCATTTCTTATAACTTTTGGTCGTTATATAATTTCTTTCAATATTATCTTCTTTTAATGTTACGACTATTCCTACTCTTAGTTCTTATGTTTTTTGTATTTAATGCTAAGAGATGATTACTCCTCAGTTTAAGTTTTTTCATTTAGAATATTATTTTGGGCATAATAAAGTTGATTGGTTTCATTTTATTTGGCATAAGCATTATGCCTTGCGATACTCTTGTTATGATTGGATGACCATTTTAAACCATCTTAAGACTATCCTTTTAAAAAGGAATATTTAGGTTGTGTTTTATTTAATTCTGATTTAGAGTCTCATTCTCACATGTTTTTTGAATGTGTTTTATATAATTTTTGTATTTTGTAAATTCTATTATCTCAATGAATATTGAACATGATTGCACCTATTTTTTTTTTTTTTTAAATTGCATCAAAGCAACGGGCTCGCTTTGGAATTCGGGGGTTGGTACATTAATTGTCAGCCTGGTCGCCGCCCGCGAATGTCGCGAGAAATCGCTATGGTTAGGAACCTCGTCCCCAATTCAAGACCTCCTTTAGGGTTTATGCGATTCAAACACCTAACAGTTGTCGTTACTGATAGCTTATTTGGGCACTGTGGTCACCTGATTTGGACTTTAAGGGTCTTTTTTTTGGTGGATTTGCGTCGTGTAATATGATATCTGTGGTGGCGGGAGGCGAAGCTGTTCCTCATGGGTCATAGCTCTAGGAAAAAGAAGAAGAGCGGGAGCGGTCGCAAGAACAGGGGCAAAGCTCCTTCCAAAGACCATCACTCTCACCCCGGGGAGGACAACGATTTGTTATCCGAAGAGCTAACCGCTCTGTAAGCTTCTTATTTTTTCTTTCGACGAATTTTGTGCCTGAAAAGTAGTCTAACCTTGCCGTTTTGCTATTTTTGCTCGGAGAATTGGAAACTCCTCATCATCATTCGCCGTCATTAATTTAATAACAATTTTTTGAGGTCTATTTATAAATTATCATTCTTCATTCAATTGCACGAGACGTCAATTTAATTTGAATTTTCCTTGCATCTAGTTATTGCCATTCTGCCTATTGTCCTCGCTAATTCTCACATTAATTTTGCTTGCCCTTCTTAGCTACATCTTCCGCTCCTGCTGTACCTATTCAAAGAGTCTGTCTTTTAAGCACTATTTTATTCTCACTTATTTTCACTTTCTAATTTAATATAATCATTTTTAATGGGCCTTTCTTAATCTTGCCCCACATTTATTTTAAGTTTCTCATTTATACTCCACTTAATTTAGCTATGAGGAAATTAAATGAGTTAGAGAGAAAGTTAAGGAGATTGATAATTTAAGATTTAAACTATATTATTTAGGTATGAGTCGTACTAAAAATGGTGTAAGTGTGATTATAGATACGAGTTTGAAGGATAATATAGTAGAAATTAAAATAATTGGAGATAGAATTAAAGCTTTAAAGATTCCTGTTGATCTTGAGATTATTAATATATAAATACATATAATCCACAAAGTATGTTTGGAATTTGGATATATCCTCAAAATTAAAATTCTTGAATAACTTTAAAGAATTAATATAAATGATATCTCTTGAAGAGAACAATTTTATAGCAGGAGATTTAAATAGACATGTTGGTGGAGTGGCATAAGATTTTAAAACAATTCATGATGACTATGAATTTGGAGAAACTAATGAAGATATTAGGACCGATTTAGATTTTGATTTAGCTTATGAATTTATTATTGTTAATATCTTATTTAAGAAAAGAGAGGAGTATCTCATTATTTATAAGAATGGTTATCGTAAAACTTAGATTTATTTTTTTCTTTTAAGAAAAATAGATTGTTTATATTGCGAAGATTGTAAAATCATTCTGAGTAAAAGCTTATGTACCCAACATTATTTATTAGTTTTGGATTTTAAGATGGATGACAAAATATGAAAAATAAAGTAAAATGTTTTCCTAGAATTAGACATGGGCATTTAAATAATGTTTATAAAATTATTTTTGAGTTTAAGATTCAAGATCTTAAGGTTTTGATTATGTATGAGAAAGATAATGTTATGTAAAAAAATATCTAGTGATACTAAGAATATTGCAAAGTGTGTGCTTGGGATATCAAAAGGAAACGATCTTAATCGTAAAAATAGTCGGTGATGAAATTAATATGTGTAAGAAAATATAAAAAATAACAAGTTTTATTATAAAAATTGGTTTATGTGTAAAAATTTAGAAAATTGGAATAGATATAGAGTGGTCTATAAGGAGTCTATGAAAGTAATATATGATGCAAAGAATATAATTTTTAATGATTTATATAATTAATTAGATAGGAAGTAGGAAAAAAGTTGTATGCATAAGTTATCCAAACAAAGAGATAGGAGAAGTAAAGATCTTGTTCAAGTATATTAAATATTAAGATCAAAAGGTATTTTTATTGGAAGAGAGTATTTAAGAGAAGTGGATAAGATATTTCGATAAGCTTTCCAATGAAGATTGTGAGAATACGATTACTTTTGTAACCTTAGCACCCTAAATGAAAATATTTTTTTTTATTTTTTCGTCGTATTAATAAAAATGAATTTAGAGAGACTTAAAATAAAGAAAAGTGTGGAAAAGGAGTTGGACCCGATGATACTCTAACAGAGGTGTGAAAATACTTAGGAAATGAAATAATTTCTTGGCTTACTAAACTTTTCATTATTATTTTGAAGACTAAAATGATGCCAGGCGAGTGTAGAATAAGTTTGTTGGTTCCTATTTTTAAAAATAAAGGTGATGATCAAGAGTGCAAATTATAGAGGAATTAAGTTAATGTATCATACATTAAAACTTTGGATGAGAATAATTGAGCATAGGTTATAATGTGATGTTAATATTTCTTAAAATCAATTTGATTCATGCTGGGTAGGTGTATTATGGAAACTATATATTTATTGAGAGGTTTGATAGAGAAGAATAGAAAAATAAGGAGGATCTACATATGATATTTATTGATTTATAGAAATTGTATGATAAAATTTTAAGAGAAGTGCTTTGGGGAGTCTTAGAAAGGAAATGAGTTAATAATGCTTATATTCAAGTCATTAAGGATATGCATGCATAAGTTGTTACTTGTATTCAAACACAAGGTGGTTTGACCAAGTATTTTTCTATGTTAGATGGATTACATCGAGGATCAACTTTAAGCCCACATCTTTTTGCTTTACTCATGGAATATTCTTATTTGACATTTGCAAGAGGATGTATCTTAGTGTATGCTTTTTGCTGATAATTGTGGCTTTGGGCAATCAAGTCATTAAAAAGAGTACAAGTTTTAGATACATCTTGTCGATTGTTCAAAGTGACGGTGAAATAGATCGGAATATTATTAGTAGAATTCAAGTTGGATGGTTGAAGTGGAGAAATGCATCGGGCTGTGATAGAAAAGTACCCCTCAATGCGGAAAATTTTTATAAAATTGTGATGAGACTTGCAATGCTTTATGACATAGACTGTTGGCCATTAAAAGAGAAGTATAAAATTAAGTTAATTATTGCAGAGTTGAGGGCGCTCATGTGGATGAGTGGCTTTACTCTTAAAAACATAATGTGAAATGAGTATATATGAGAAAAGGTTAGAGTAGCTCCAATGACAGATAAGATTAGAGTCGCCTTAGATGGTTTGGTTACATAAAATGTCAGCCTTCCGATGACTTGGTAAGGAGAGTAGATGTATTATATTTGACCTAAGTTAAGAAAGTTTGAGGTAGACCTAAAATGACTTTCTAACGAGTAATCATTATTTATTTAATTATTCCCATCATTCGATGCTCTTGACTTCACATTTTGAAGTCCTCAATTTCATGTACATTCTATATGTTTAATTCTGCTATATTAGCTAAGCCTTGCATATCTTTTTTGTTTTATAGTACTTTGTTCCAAAATATTTTTCTCAAATAAGTTAATATTCTCTTATCCATAGGATTATTTTTAAATGATTTGTCAAACAAATTATTATAATATCTTTGTAATATTTTAAATCTCATTAATTTTTATATAGAATTAAAATTTAAAGTTTATTTACCTTTTCAGAGCTAACTCAACCTCACGCTTTTAAGTCAATGTAAAATATAATTTATGATCCTATTTATTTTACTTTTTTATATTTTTCAATTCCTATTTATTAGTTTTAAATAACAATTTGATGCGTTTTGGAAGTACAAACAACAAGGTAATAAGTAAAAAATTGTAGAAATTTGAAGATAATGGTTGATTTTGATTAATACTTCAACAATAATGAAATATACAATTGATATACTATTTGAGAGGTAGATGAGCTCTCCCACATATCCTAGGCACCGCTAGGAACAACTCAAAAAAAAAAAACAACAACAAACACAATCACATAATGAAAATAAAATAATCAAATTACCCTTAAATAAACCATCATATTTTCATTCCAAATTTGAATTCTCAAATCAGTCATCTTTCCTATTATAAAACCTTCCTATTTTCCTTCAAAATGTGAATTCAAATCAGCCCTCTTACCCTAAATTAAATCTTTGTAATTCCCTCCCAAATATGAATTCAAATCAACCCCATTTTCTTAAATAAACCTTTCCTAATTTCCTCCCCAATTTAAATTTAATTAGACATCTTTCCCTAAGTAAACTTTCCTGATTTCTCCTCCTTACATTGTGAATATTAACTCTCCTTGGGCCCCACAAGGTGGGCCCCCCTAGCGTATTAATACTCCCTCCCAAAAGCACACCTTGTTCTCAAGGTGGAAGGATATGAACTTTCTAGTCCTGGGCGATCATATCTAAGTAATTTGGATAGCCACCTTTGATGCTCCTCAATCACCATCCTCTGCTCTAGTAGAAACTTCAGACTCCTTTGGCCTGTCATGACGATAAAGTGTCGCCCCAACAAATAGGGTTGACACTTTTTGATAACTAAGACAATCACCATCAACTCCCGCTCGTATACGAACTTGCGTCGCCCTAGTTGTGAGCACCTGGAAATAAGCAATGGGTCGATGATCCAGCATGAGTATTTCCCTAGGACCTATTCTGATGCATCTGTCTCCACCCTATACACCCACACATGGACATCCTCCTCTTTAAATATCTATATCTTCAACATAACAACCTTAACATCTCCACTCCAACTTCTTCTCCCTCCAACGGTTCCTCCCGTGCATCGTGGATGGTGCTCCCACCTTTTTTCCATCCTCCTTGCATGACCCGATCCCTACGGCTCGGCTCGACCCCCTCCATCTACGATCACCCATTCCTCTTGCCCGAAATGCCTCCAATAGTGGTTGATCACTCCATCACCTCCACTACAAAATTTCATCCTTGCTATTCCCCCATCCGAAAAGCTTGATCCGCCCCTTATCATAGCCCTAGAAGATGAATCTTGATGAAAGAAACTTTCCTCATTGAACTCCTCCTGTCCAATCTCTGTTAAATCTTGATTAGGGTTAGTAATAAGAACCACCAGTGGAGTTTTTGATTGCATTTTCATGAGCTTCCTCATCATCACCTCCAACCTTCCAAATCAGATCTCCATCCGATTCTCCATGGTTGAGAATTTCTCTTCCATTTAGGATTGAAATTGCTCCATTTTGCCTTCCAACGCATCCACCTTCTTTGAGGTCATTGTCACAAAAAAATCTCGCTCTGATTATAATTTCATGCATTTTGGAAGTTAAAACAATGAGATAACAAGTTGAATACTATAGGAATTTGAAGATAGTGATTGGTTTTGATTAATATTTCAATAATAATGAAAGATACAATTGATCTACTATTCGAGAGGTAGATCGGCTCTCCCATAAACTCTAGGCACCGTAGG